GCTCGTGCCATTATCCGTGTGCCCGAGAAGTCGAATTCGTGGCCTTCTTCCACAGTGTGGGTAGCGATCTGGGACATTGGGTAGCTTCTCCACACTGCCCATTTGTGCTCCATTATTCGCGAGCTAAGTCGTCGCCCGGTCTTCCCTGTATAATGGCAAGAACAGTCGCGACATAGCACCTGCTCAACGACGCCAGACTGCTCACCTACATCCAGTGGGTCTTTTATTTGCATGACTCGTGAACGCATGGTAGCTGCTGGACGATGAGCAATACCCACGCCGAGCTCTGCAGCGATACGCCCGGTTGCTTCTGATATCTTTTTAATGTACAGCAGAGGGTGCCAGAGCGTTGGTGCTCCCTTTCGTTTGTTCCATGCGGAAGCGTACGGAGGCAGCGACTGACGAAGCTGTTCGGGTATCCATTCCTCGCCAGTTGGTCCCGAAGATGTCGTAATTCTTGCCTTCGCCCCTCCGGTTCACTGCAATGTGTCTTCACTCTCCGAAATAGTGCTCTAATACAGCCACGTTTATACGCTATTGGGTGATTGCTATGGAAGCTGAGCACCTGGGTTGTGTTAATTGCCTTTCTTTAAACCGTGGTGTGATTTCTTGTTTGCTTGGAGAGTTTAATAGTCGTTTGACCCTATACTCAGGAATGAGTACCCTCATGCTAGAAGGCGGCAGTGCGGGGACTCCGAAGAGGAGTTAAGTTAAATGCATGTACTAACCCTCGGAATGAGAGGTATTAACCTCTCATTAAGGACGTAAACTTCGGAAAAGATCCTAAGATGTATGTAGTAAAAACTGCCTTCCCACCTGGCTGCCCACACTTTTAGTCGATTTTTATCTGCGCTTTTTAGATTGGTCGATTGCATTTGATTGGTGCGGCCGTGATAATAGTAAATCGATTACGCGAGACGGTCAGGGCGTCTATTTAGGCTGTCCAAACTCACTGCGTCAGCTTAAGTGATGGGCGAACCCCAACCGTTAGTACTTTTAAGTCCTATCTCGAATAGAAAAGTAGCCTAGATAGCCAGGTTACCATCTTTGTCAGTGCACGGATAAAGTGGCATAAACCAATCAAAGAAATGCAAAAAAATCTATCGAGCACAAGGCTTGGTTACTCGGTAAGTTAGCCAATTTCTTTCTACCATTTTGACTTTGACAATAGCCAGGAACTCATCATTGTAGGAAGTGTATTCGTTAAACGGGTTTCGACATCCCCTCGTCCTGTTGTGCTTCGCGGACAGTAGCAAAGCGACCAGAAATACAGGGTGTCCCTTAAAATGTATACACATTTTAAATAATTATAAACTTGGTGTTTATGATAATTTTATTATTTCACAAATGAAAACAATATTTACAAGTATCACTTTATTGTTTTTTTAAAACGTATTTTGACTGTGGCAACAGTGGCTGAGTTGAGAGAAGCCATTGAGCATGATTGCACACGAATACCAAGGGAATTGTTTCATGGTGTGTGCGATTCCAGTGCTTCGCGTTTTCAGCAGTTCCATGATCAAAATGGACGTTAGTTTGAGAACGTTTTATGAAAAAACAATAAAATGGTACTTGTAAATACTTTTTTACATTTTTGAGATACTGAAATTATGATAAAAACCAATTTTACAATTATGTAAAATGTGTATAAATTTTTTGGGACACCCTGTATATGTTGGAGCCAGACCCAATGAGTCAAGAAGGGGGCTAAGATCCCGCAGTTGAACCCCTGGATGCTTAAAACCTGGAGTTTGTAATGATCATCTGATGGTGACTAATAAGGCTAGAAATTACCACTCCAGTCGCCCTTGTCTTTACTGAACCTCTTCTCAAGACACCCCCGTGAATTTTAGAATTATCTCGATGAAGAGAGTACTTTGTGCGGCATTTATCAGAATAATTACAGTCGAATTGACTATCACGGGATGCAATTATTAGGAAAAAGCTATTTTAGCTAGCCGA